TAATACTTAATCGGGTACTCATTGACTCGAAACCTGATTTCTTATATATTTTATATTATTTTTATTTTCATGTCAAATGATTGAAATATTTTAAACATATACTATATTATGCTCATTTTGAATTAATCAGAAAAAATGTCTATAATTGGAACATATGTACTTTTTTTTTAAAAAAATTAACCAATGTTAATTAATTAATTATTCAAGAATCCATTGAGTGGTCTAAGTGTTAAAAAGAAATAATATTTGTTAAAAATATTTTGATATTTCGATATAACAAATAAAGTGTTAATTAATTTTAAGATTTTATATTCGATTTCAAATGCTATATTCAAATTAATTATTAGAATATTACAAATATTACTCCAAGTTTTAAAATGTCATATTTTAGTCCTTACTTAAATGAAAAATTGTGTTTCACTCTAAAATCAATTTTGAAATAAATTTTACAAAGTATTTCGAACCATAAACGAGTCAAAAATGGATTTTCAATAGGGTAGTACCGATATTGTCTTATCAGTATCGATATCCCCAAACATCGAATGCAAAATGGGTACCGATACCCTACCCAGTATCGATACCCTACCAGTATCGATACCCTTACATATAGTTACCGATACCATGATAATGGATACCGATACTACTCCCTTGGTTTTGACTCCGAGATAAACATCAAATGCAAAACGGGTACCGATACCATGACCGGTATCTATGCTACTTTACATAGTAGTATCAATACTCCTTGAGAGGTATCAATATCGTTGAGTTGAGTTGCAACGGTCGAAATATTTAAACTTTATACAAGTCGTATCGATACCCCTTAGTGGAGTATCGATACCCATACGCTCCCAACAGCTTTTTGAAGTAGAAAACATACAACAACGGCTCTATTGACTCCATGATCATCCCCAACGTGCATAATTCATTCAAGGGGTATTTAAACAAGTCTTGAAGCCATTGATGAAGAACAAGAAACAAGTATTGAGAAAGATTTCAAAGAGAGAAAGCCTTAAACTTATTGTTTGAGCAAATTAAGCCAACATCCATTCAATATTCATTTTGCTTTCAAGAACACCATTTGTGCTCAATTGTATTTATTCTTGAGTGTTCTTTCTTTGTTCTAGAATTGTGCAAACAATCTTACCTTGTGAGGTTTTTCTTCTAAGTTTGCGAATTTTTTAATTTTCTCTTTGAGAGAGAGTGTCTCAAGAATTTGGGGTGTAATTCTTGAGGAAGTTGTAAGGTTACTCTTTGTCCTCAAAAGAAAGACATATTAGTGAATTTGTGGAAAATCCTTAGTGTGGATAGCTAAGGTAGTGGACGTAGATGTAACATCCTCAATATCGGGTTAGTGACCAAATTGTAATATTTCATGATTTGGTGTTTTAAAATGGAATTAGTTGAAAAGTTCAATGATTTATTTGGAAATATTACCTTAAAGATGCTAGTAATTATAAAAGGTATTAAAGGGCAAAAGGGTCATTTGACCAAGAAATGAATTAAAAATGGGATATGGTAAGGATTTATACACGTGGGAAAGGAGAGATTTCTCCAGAGCTTTCTTCTTTTTTTCTTCTTCTTCTTTATACGTGAAAGAGAGCCAAGCAAAGGTAAGCTTTCTGATCTGTTGATTATTTGTTAATTTAAAGTTTGGGTTTTGATCGTTAGATGATAACTAAGCTTAAGGGAAGCTTAAGTTATCTTAAAATCAAAAGATAAAAGAGTTAGGGAAGATTAAAGATTTTGAGTTCTTGAATGAAATTTTGATATAGAGTTGATAATTAGAATTGAAAGTTGGATTTGACTTGTCATCAATCTAGTTAAGACATATGAAGTGTTAGAAGTGGAATTAAATCATGTTGCAAAGTTGGTATAATTCTTGAACCTCATAAGGAGGATATAATTTTAGGGTTTAAGATGAAATAAATGAGTATAGATTAGTTTAAATAGGTGTGTAAGAGTTAAGAATAGAAAAAGGGATGAAATATGAAAAGTTGAGAGAATAAAGAAGGGATTTTCGTGCTCAAAGTATCATTTCTGGGTTGTGTGCATCGATGCATCTTCAATGTGCATCGATGCACTCTCAAATAAATGAACATCAAATGCAATAAGTGCATCGATGCATAAGGAGTGCATCGATGCACATGCTTAAAATATAAACATCGAATAGGATTTATGCACCGATGCATGGATAGTGCATCGATGCACCTGTCTAGGGATGCATCGATACATGGTGTAGTGCATCGATGCATGCCTTCATTAAAATATGAAAATGGCTTTCTTATAGCCTATGAAGTGATAGCTTAGAATATATCAATTAGTATATTGATATGTATCAATGTGTTATTATTATGTAGATATAGAATGAAAGCTTGTTCCAGAACAATTGAAGAATTAGAATCAAATCAAAGCAAGCAAGGCTAAGGTGAGTGCAATTTCATTGTACTTATGTTATCGAATAAGCATTGGCTTGCGATGAGCTAGTGACGGAGTTACTATAGTAATAAGTAACTCGTAAAATGTTATTTGATTTATATGATTCATATGATATGTGATATTGAACGACATGAATATATGAGAATATTATATCAGTTGTGTGATATGTTTGACATTTTATTTTATGTGATATGTGTTTACATGATCACAAGACATGAGTTATATGAAAGAGAAAGTATATGTGATACGTGAAAGTGAATCATATGTTTATATGAAAAGTGACATGAATTACATGAAAGTAAACTATGTGACTATATGCACATGTGATATGTGACAGAAGAAAAGTAAAATATGATCATAAGAGAAATGAAAGTGTATAAGTGAAAATGCCCATGTTATGTGTATTGAGAGCTAGAGGTATAGTTGGCATGCCAAGAGTCGAGGGTTTACCTATGTTCTAAGGAACATATGGAGAGTTTACCTAGGTTCTTTGTGACCTATGGACAGTTACCGAGGAACTTTATGACCTCTGGATATGTCCTTCGGGACATTTATACGAGCTGTGATGACAGCATAGTGGTGCACAACCTCAATAGACTCACGTATCCACAGTTCTCACATGTGTACCATGGGCTAATAAAGAGATAATATTAATAAACTGGATATGATGATATGTTTGTTTCCTTGTGAAATGTTATGTGTGATATATGAGGGTACAAATGGAAATTATAAGATTATATGATAAAAGGAATTAAATAATAGTGATAAGAATGGAGATGATGATATAGTTGCTTGTGTGTATTTGATTTACGATAGGATATATGTTTTACATGACATGATATATATATATGTTATATGAGATACGTGAGTACTTGTTAAGGTATATATGAATGAGTATAATTGATTGACATAATGATATAATAACAAATCTATAAGATATATATGATATGGATATAAAAGATCATAGGAATATGAGATAAGAGATATGAATGATAATGACATATATGTATGTATGATTATTAGTTAAAGTTACATTATATGTTTATTGCCTCACTAAGTCTATGACTTAGCGTGTAAGTGATTTACACGTAGGTACCAAGAATCGGGAAGAACAAAAATAGGAGTGGAAAAAACAGCAACACTGCTAGAAGATCAGATCAGAAGTAACGGTGAAAGTATGTATTTTGATGGTGTATAGTGTGTTGGCATGTAAGAAAAGTGTTAGTTATAGATGCTCTGATCAGTTTTGTCTTGTTTTGGTTAACACGTGTACAATAACAATGCTATTTCAATAAAATTTTAAATTTCCATGCTTGGTTTTCGTTAAAAGAAAAAGTTTGAAAAGTCAATGTGACACCTCAGACTTGTATCCGGGTCGGATACGGGTTGAGGGTGTTATAGTAGACTTTGGTTGAGAAAGTCGAACCACTCTAAATCGCTATGCAAATATTTTTATTTTTCTGTCAAGCTTCCACCAAAATTTTATTTGTCAATTCACCCCCTCTTGGTTATTTCATCTGATCGATTGACTCAACAATATTCTCTCTAGAGGATTTAGATTCGAGTATACAATTTTATAGGGTGTGTCCAATTTGAGAATGCTTCTAGTAATGGAAAATTGATTTTCCACCACATAAACAATGCTAAACACCTAAAAATTGGTTTAAAGTCATGGTTCAAAAAGTAATTTTTAACCTAATCTCGTTATAGCTCAAAGTTTTAGCTTTTGACGTGGAAAATCATTTTTTTGATGAAATTATATTTTTATCCCTAAATGTTATATTTTCAATTTATAATATAATGTGAACATTTTATCTTTTTAAAGTCACTTTTTAATAACTATTCCAAACAATTATATTTTAAATTACATTTTTCAAAAATACAGTTTTTCATCGCACTTTTAAAATAATTTTTCAAAAGCAATATCAATCTGACCAATAAATTTTCAAATAAATAATATTTTATAATCATTTAAAACTATTTAAAAAAACCGAATATTAAACTCATCGAGTGATCTTAGTGGTTAAGAGGAGTGTTGTTATCTCGAAAAATCCTAGATTAAGTTTGTAAGGTGGGTGTGCATTATCAATGATTAATAAAGATTATAAACATGTACTACTTTGTAAGAAACCAAAACTATTAAAAAATAACCAAATATTGAATATTTATATAAAGAAACAATAAAATTGAAGTGGGCACTTGGACCTAACTCAAGTCAAATAGAAAAAATAACAGGAAATAATCACGTGCGATAGCCTTAATATACGTTTAAAAAAATGTTACCAGTTTTGTTATTATTTAAATAATAAAATCGATAAAAAAATTACCAAAACATTATTATTTCTATCGATTTTATTATTGTTGGACATTTTATCTAAAATGTTAAAAAATATTAATATTTTATGTAAAAATAATAATATTTTATATAATTTTTTTTATCAATTTTATTATTTCCAAAAATAGCACAATACAAGAATCTACCACATTCTACTGGTAGACACACACAGAGACACCTCCCTCACCTTATCCAAACTCATTTCTTTTTCAAACAACAAAGAGAATATGCCCCTTCAATGGATCCCTTTTATATCTCCTCCACCCACTCCCATAAAAACCATTTAACAAATCAGAAGGAAACTCCATTGAAATGGCATCTGCAACCACAAGACTTAGTTTTTCCTTTCACCACTTAACCCAACCTAATACAAAGCCCAAGAAACCTCACCTACTTCCTCTCTCCCACAAACTCCCCAAAATAAACATCAAACCCCAAAGAACCCAACACTACCTCCATTTCACCATTCATTCCATTGATGTCTCGAAAGAAGACAGCCAAGAAACACCAGCTTCAGACCCAGAAAACCAGTCGGAAGAAACGAGTGGTGAAGAAGGCAAGTTGGATAAACGGAGGTTAGAGGAGAAGTTTGCAGTGCTGAACACGGGGATATATGAGTGCAGATCATGTGGGTTCAAGTATGATGAATCAGTGGGTGATCCTTCGTATCCAATACCGCCGGGGTATCAGTTCGATAAGTTGCCGGATGATTGGAGGTGTCCAACTTGTGGGGCTGCAAAGTCTTTCTTCCAGAGTAAGAGTGTTGAGATTGCTGGGTTTGCTCAGAATCAGCAGTATGGTTTGGGGGGCAATACTCTTACTTCTGGTCAGAAAGCTCTCTTAATTTATGGAAGTTTGTTCTTCTTCTTCGTGCTCTTCTTGAGTGGCTACTTTTTGCAATAGCTATCAAACATTGTGTAATTCTTCTTTGTTCTAAAAGTATATTTTTCTGTGGAAAATTTTGCAAATTGTAAAATTAATCCCCAAAAAAGAAAACATGATTCTTTGTTCAACTTTACTAAAACTTTGAAATATTTTTTAAATATTTTGAGAAGTTATATGTGTCATTAGATTAATAAATAACATTATGCCGGTTCCGATTCCTATTACTGAGAATAATAACAGTTTGTATAGCTCGATATTGACATTCTACGGTTGTACAACTTCTACTTAAAAGAATAAGCCTAAGCAGCTTACAACAACAGACGTTCAATTAATCCTCCTGCTATAAACACAACAGTCCTAGTTTTGGATGTCACACAAGCAGCTATGGTGTGTTCTGAGAAACCTATGGTTTGAACTTTAAATACATACACGGGCCTTTGAACTCTGACGGAACTACAGACTCTGACTCTTCTTATGGTTCAATTCTAAGATTAATCACCTAAACCATTCAAAAGTTGCAATGTACCACCACTAGTCAATTTCCATTTGATTTTATAAATGAACATTGCGGCAACATTGCTTCGCCCATATGGTCGAATGTTGCTCACATGACAAGTTCATTGATAAAACCATACATGCCCGTGTCAAAGAAACAGGCAACAAGTCCATCCGATATAGTGATCACTGCTGGTTAACTGGTGCAGTCACTCCCTACGGATGAGACTTAATCTGATAAGCCTTCTTTTTCTGCTTCTCATAAGCTCCACTTGATGTATTTTCTTGTTTTCTGGAATTATTTACATTCACTGGTTTATTGATCTGCGTGTTAGGTGGTGTGGGAGGAGTACCAGTGTTCTCAGACCAGAGATCTAAACTCTGTGAGTATCCAGAATTTGGCATCTTCGAAGACATCGTATGTGCAATACCTATGCCACTTCCCTCGAATGTCAATGCAGACATTCCAGCCCTCAAATCATAATATTTTTCCTTATTCTGTAATCTATCCTGTGACCTTAAGTTGTTTCTGATTTGCATACCATTTGATGATGGATGTCTTGGGTTGCCCAATAGCCCTTGTGAATGATTGTATTGGCCATAATAATTTGCACCATTGCCATATCCCCTTCCATAACTTGATGGTCCGGCTGGACGTGGCTGGCTGACATAATAGTAATTTGGGTCATCAAGTAAGCCCCTTTCATAACCCGGTGGTCCTGCAGGCCTTGGTCTAATGCTGCTGTAGTTGCTTGAGATATTAAAAGATGGTGGTTGCTCCATTGACGAAGAGGATGACCTGTTCGATTTTACATTAAGAGCACTCTTGACAAGACGATGAGCTGTCTCTCCTAGCTGAGGCCCAATTATCGCACCAGGTACTAGTGCCCTGTCAAACAAATTCAACAAAGAATATCATGGAACCACTGGCCGTTTTCAAGGCCTTTGAATAATTTCTGAGGACATTCTGAACAGCAAACAGTATACATAAGATCTCTAAAATCTTGTATATTCCATGAAACTAAGATAATGTGTTCTCACCTATCTCTGGCTAGCTGCTGCCGACCACCATTGTCTTCATGCCAAAGTACAGGAAAAGGTTTGATGTCCAATGGTGTCAGAACCTGCAAGCGTGACATGTATGTGTTTAAAATTAAACTTGGGTGACCGATCCACAATGCTTCTGTAATGTTTCTCAGAATAAAAGAAAGCATTATGGAAGAAAGGTAAATGGTAATCTTGTGCATCCTTGAGTTCCCTTATCAAACCTAATAAATTCAAAGCAATGCCTATGTCAACAATTATATACCTTTTTGGGTAGCACAACACCCTGTGGAGGTCTTGGAATGTGTTTATGTTTATGATCTGAAGGATTAAGATACGTAATATTCCTGCACAGTGAAAATCATGAAATGAATAATTAGGATCACTAGGATTCTAGGAGCTTTCGAGGAAAAAAAAGTATAGAACCATGGAAGACTTACAAAACTTGGTTAACTTCTATATCTGGCAACCCCTTGACAGGGGAAGAAACTACATGGTGCCAACCATTCCTTTCGGATAACCAAAGAAATCCATTCATTCCATCACTGTGAAGGACAATAGATGAGGATGTAAAACCAACAGATATTCCCGAAATGGATTCAAATGCATGCACTCAGTTAATGATGGACAATGAAGTTAACCCACCTAGCATTTGTGTCGATTGGCAATAAGAATCTTTCATGAGGGCGTAGTTGATAGTTAATTTGATAATATGAAATAACTTGTGAAGCTAAGGGATGAAGGCGATGGACATATAGCAGATCAAGCATCACACTGTTACGAATCTGCTCTTCAGCCTGCAAATATCATCTTAAGGGTTAGATAATGAATTAACTAAAAACATTTTGATGACAAGCAATTGCATAAAAGAAGAATCTGAGATATTTTGCACATCATTCAGAAATTAGCTTGCTAGTCTCAAACAACAATTCAGACCGTCAAAGTAGCTTCAAGCTTTCTTGTTGCAGAAAGTAACTTCTTCTCATCAATGAATGGCAATTTGACAATACCCTGAGTAAACAAGAAAAAGGTTAAGTGCTCAATTTTTTTTTGGAAATTGATAAGAAAATAAATAAAAACAAGCTAACTTCGTATATAAGAATCTACCTGCCATGCAAAGCGTTTACCATGCATGTCAATCTCAAAATCTGTCACAGAGAGAAATCTTGGTGAAATTAAAAGAGAGGAAACTACCAAAGATAAACAGAACACCAAGAGTTGACCGACTTTTTACCAGTGGGATAAAAATTAGAGATGGGTGATGATGGATCAGTCATCAGTTTCCCATATTCTTCTGGCAAAGCATTAGAACTGTAACATGATAGAGATAAAATAGCATAAAGCATAAGCAACTGTAAACCGGAATCAAAAAGAAATATTTGAATTGAAATACTATATACTTGTACACAAACAATATAGAACTAAAAATAACCTGGCAGCTGGCAGTGTTCCCATGAGCTGGTCAAAGGGTTTAAATGGCTCTCCCATGAAAAATGTTATTTCCAAATCAGCTAGATCCTTAAGGGTCTGACGCAAATGGAGCATAATGGTATGGATAAAACCTGAAGGAAACAGTGCGGATGCCACTTTAGACCAACTAAATAATAAACCCATACCGCAAGACATGTAGCGTATTTAGAACTACTTGTTAGGTAGTTATACTAGACATGTATATGATTCAGAAGCCGAAGAAAAAGTGTATCGGGTACCAAAACCCCTCCCTTTGACCATGATTAAAACCTAAACCTTTAAATTGAAAAATCCTACTCCACTTTAAAAAGATAACAGCCTAAAGCATTAAAGGTGTGCTTAAAAATGGAAGGATGGTAAGAGGAGAATGTATAAGTGGGGATGTTTTTTTACACTGCCTGAAAGGGACGAGACAAGTGAAAGAAAATAGCAAATACAACCATTTTTAATCATAATGTATAGAAAAATTATTGCAAATTGGAATGATATGAGAAATTGATTTTTAAAAAAATATGCATTTTTTTATATCCTCCTTTCCTTTCTCAATTCTACCAAGCAATACGACTTATTCTTTCTATTTTTCTATCTTTCCAGCCAAGCACACCAATGGATAAAAAAAATTTTACTATCTATCCACTTTCACCATCTTTCCATTTTCCACCTTTTCTATTTTCTTTTACACCTTACCAAGCAAAGCCTAAGTGGACTTTTGTATGGATAGGACTCTCTCTTTCGGATATCTAATAGTAATGCATGCATAGATATGATGGCAATCTAAACTATTACTTTTTTCAATTAACAAGATAAATGCAACAATGGAATAATAAAAGCATGAGGCGAAAGGATGCATATTGCATAAGTCATTGCCAAGAGCATATAGGTAAGCTTATACTTGACTATATAATATTAGCTTATTTAGTTTATCAAATGAAAGATGGTAGGTAAAAGTAGATACAACATTTTCTGCCCATCTACCAAAACTAACCATTGCCAAGAGCAAACACCTTGGTAGTAATAGCGACATACCCAGCATAACCCTTCAATGTATTTCAAAACCTGCGAGTAGAGACTACTGTTACGGATATTCCACCAGGATAACACATACACAACTTATTGTGGCAAAAAATATCCCAATATATTTGAATTTAAACTTACAATGTCTTTTTTAATGTCTTCAATCTCCGCAGAATTTGATATTTCAAATTTCTCAGCATAATATCTTTCTTTGTATCCTGGTTCCCCTAATTTAATCTGGAAAAAGAACAACTAAATTATTACACCGCAAGAAGCTGATCACAAAATACCACCACACTTCTCCGGTTGCTCAAAGGACATCCAGGACTTGCATGAGATTCTACATACCATGACTTTCCCTTCCACTTCTCTATATTATGATATAAGACTAAAGAACAGAACAGCTTAAGCTCACAGTTCAAATGGTTGTCGGTAAAGTTTGGAGATAATGATATTCTACAAAATTCACAGCAAATTTACCATAACTACCCCTTTCATTCATTCATTTCTCTACTTTACAGTTAAAAGATTAAAAGTGGAAGGTTAAGCTATCCGTTCTAACGGATGTCAAGAAAAGTTAATTAGAACTTCTTGTCACCAAAAGATTTCAACACTTATCAACAAAACTTTAATTATCACTTGGTGCAGATCTCAAGTATATGTGAGTTTTTCTAATAGGCTTTGAATTAGTGACGACCTGGATTCTCATTTTGATTCACAACTGAAGCAATTTCATCTGTAGAGACACTAAACCTGCCAATTTACTTGAACCCAGGTCTGTAATTTAAAAAACGATTTATAACACAGACCTTATCTACAACAGTTGCCTGTCCATCATCAGAAAACTCTCCTCTTGCTTTAAGCTTCATCTGTTCATTATTCTCAATTGCCTGAAAATCAGTCATTCGCCAACGTAAGGAAAAATCTATGGCTGATATGAGAACTTAAAAAGAAATAAAAGAACTGAAGGAATATATGCACGATAAACCAGTTAACCATCAATCACTAAGGAAAGAAAACTTAAGCACAAAACTTAAGCATGCAATTTGCACATAACCCCA